AGGGAGTGCATTCTGAGTTTTCACTTTCTCATTAAAAAAACAAGAAACTAACCAATGCAGGGCAAGGCCACAAGGCACACAGCAGGATTCTGCTGCTGCCTTGCCCACAATGAGTATGGTTGAGGCAGTGCAGCACCTATGCAGATCACGTCCCTCAAAGGAGCCTCAGTTAACCTTAGTGCTATGATTAAAGGCATCTTCACCGAAAATCCACCTACCCCTAACTGGACAGGTAGGCAAAGAGGATACTTAAGAGCTGGATAACAGAAAAGAGCCTGAAAAGAATTTTGTTTCCTTAGACAGATGAGGCTGCTGCACACACAAGCCTTACCTGGAGGAAGCAAAGATCCCCAAATAACCTTTGATTTCCACAGGCTCACAAACATGATATCATAGCTTTGAGGCTTTGTACCAATTCTATGTTTTGGTGCTGTGTTATGCTACAACATCACAGTAACACCACAGTGCAAACGCTACATTTGCTTAACAGACCACTGCCTGGAATTTAGGCACACTCCATCAGGAATCACGCTGCTCCTCTGCTGACTGTTTGGCTGCTTGGCACAGCACATGCCATGTGTACGCATGAAAAGGAGGCCAAGGGAGAGCCAAGTGGTAATGAGAACTGGCAGCGAAGAAACTGATTATTTATCAGTTCTAGCCAGATTAAAAAGACTTAAAGTGAAAAAATAAAAATATTTCCATATGGCACAAGTGTTCTAACATGAGACAATCTGCAAAGTGAAGATAAACTACTGCCTTCTGATATTTTCTATTAATAACTGAATTGAGGCATTTCCTGTCACGGCACTTAATGCAGTGTGTTGAACAGACAGATGCACTACATACCATGAAACAACGGAGTTTTCAGATTCATCTGCCTGAAGTTATAGGATTGTTTAACACTGGAACTGCAACAGATTTCCACTTATACCTTTCTAATTTAAAAACATCACGACTGATTCAAAGTCCTTAATATATGCTTATAAATTCTATGCTTTCTGTGGCATACAAGCATATGCTTCTCTGTACAAGGATGGGATTATTTCCAAGCTAAGTGTAATCACGCACTGTAGGAATCTGCCTGATTTTGGTCTAGAAAAACTTCTGTTCAGCAGACTTATATATAAGGAAGCAGACATTTTTTCTTACAGTTAGCTGAGTCCAGTTCATTTACCTTAAAAGAACTCTAAACATGTTTTTGGCAAACATAGGAACTAGAAAAGCAGCTTTAACCCTGCATTTTTGTATCAGCGCGAGTTCAGGAATATTTTTATACTTTCTGCTTCGTCAAGCATTTTGTACAAGCTTTTTCTTTTCTTTAATTCATTCCAAGAAGTTCTACTCCAAATATTTTTTCCATATCTAGCCACAATATGTTGTTTCTTTTCTAAGAATAAACAGTAATTCAGTTTACAAAAATGTCAAACTCTTTGATGTGAATGTATCTTTATATAGTAAAAGCATCCAAAGCCGCCTTGTCTGGTATGTAGTTATAAAGGGGCAGCCTTGTTAGGCAGGAACCTATAAAGTCCAATTTCCCTACATGCCTGACTGGTCACACAGAAATTCCCAGTATGAACCACAAGATTATTTATCCTTTGCTTCGCTTTTTATTTATTTTTAATTGTACTAAATGAGAACTTATATCTTTGACTCCCAATATACTTAATACACTTGCTTAGGCGAAAGAATCCTGATGATACCATATCAAACCCGCATCTTCAGCAGTCGTCAGAGGATTCAGGCATTAGAGTATTAGAAGTTGTAGCGTTTTATGAGATGGGGGAAGGATCTTTCAAATTACCTGTCAATTTCAAGAAAAGAATAACAATCCAAGAAGTTGGTACCATTTGATACTGCGTTACTGATTGTGTCTGATGGCAAAGATTAAATTATGTTCATATTGAAACCTGTTTGCATCAATTGCAAACTGGTAGCAATTAATCTTAAAAAGCTTGATGCACCTCTGAATTCAGAAGAGCAGATTTCCCCTCAGAGCAATAAAAATGTTATGACTTAAAAACTTAATCATTTATTTTAATGCTATTAAGTATTTGGTACACACCATAGCCTAACAAATGGTCCAAAAAACCTAACAGCAGGTACACTGTAGACTATTCACATGTTCATAGGTATTCTCTGCTGACAATTACCAGATTTAGAACAAAGTATTTAGCCTACTCAAGGAAATAAAGGAAAACTGTACCAAATACTATTGAGAGTCTTAGTAGTACATTTTTGCCTAAAGGCAAAAATTGTTACTGAAAATATTTTGCTAAAAACCAACAAATTCAGAACAAAACAGCCAACAAGAACAGACAAATATGCCAAAGCTTTCAGTATTATTTAGAGAGACGCAGTACAGTCCTTGAAGAGGGAATTCACAAGCAATTTCTTAATAAACAAGAGGCATACACAAAGATACCAAAGCCTGCTGTCTCATTTCTTGCAGAATGCCTAGGGACACAACCATATAGGTACAGAAAATTATCCCAATTCTTAGATTGGGATTCAGTCACCTGAAGAACTTAGACATGTAATAAATTAATTTTAGTGTACACAACTTTTAAAGGGTATGTAAGATACTGTTGCCTATTGTTCAGAAACCCCAAGCTGGCTTAACTCCTAGCTAACAGGTTGCTAAAGCAAACTACAGCAGAAAAGATAATTTTTAATCCTAAGAACAGCACAGTTCTAACATTTTACTTAAGCACAGCTTACTAGTGCAGGTGTGGCTTACTTTTCTTTCCTAGAACCACACCTTCCTGCTTGAATATATGTATGTCTTTACAGACTCTAAAGGAATTTCAGAAATTTCAAGCTCTCTCATCTGGAAGAAAAGATAGAAGACACTGTATTTCTGCACTGAAGTCAGTAAATTCTGACAGTAGAGACATTGGCCTTGGCTCTGTAACATTTTGGAAGCAGTTTGGTCTATGTGATAAATGGAAGCATGCCACTGTACCCTACCAGTCAGAGAAGCCTAAAAGGAAAAAGCATGGAAGTGCAACACATTTAAATCATAGAGCTCTCTTCCTCTTATGTGTGAGGGGTTTCTGTTTTGTTTTGTTTGTTTGTTTTTGTTTTTTTGATTTTTTTTTTTAGGCTAAAATGCACGTGTTTAACATCTGACCAAATTCTTTGTTAAGATTCTAGAATCAAAGGCAAAGCAAGAAGTTTGGACAAGTGTTTTTAAATAAACAACCTGCACATGCCCAACTTCTTGCACTGCATGACTTTTTGAAGCCAGGAAAAATTATGCATTCCTCTGCACAGATCACAAACACCACAACATGTGGGAATATAAACAAATTCTACTGGGTGATTCCATGAACTATCAGGAACAAGATTCCATTTCATTTTTTGAACATGGGCTCCTCAAAATGTATAAATGGAACTAGTTTATAATGGAACTAGTTTAACAACTCAATGCAATATTGAGTGTAGGTAACTGTATGGCTATAGCTACGTGCCTCCACCCTGTAACTGCATGCATATAAAATATATAAACAGAGGGATACCTGCATACAAACATAATATAAACCTATACACAGCATGCCAATGTCAAACATTTGAAAGACTGTGATTCAGGGCCATGAATTGCTTCTTAGAATGCACTTCATATTTTCATTCAGAAGAAAATGATATGTAGCATAATACTGGAGAAAAGAAACTAAAACTTTCCAAATGTTTTAGGAAAATCTCTGGATAAAATTACAAACTCTAAGATTACAACACTTGCGTAGCTAAGCGTTAGCTTGTCTTCTGGACCAGGGACAACACTCGATTTTTCCCGTTCAGGTGAAAGTAGTTAAATTTCATGGGATGGTTGAATTCATGATAATCTCTTGAGCCAATCTCTGCTAAGAAAAAGCCCAGACCTAATGCTTCTGTAGAAGGCAGTGAGAAGCAACAATTGAAATAGCTGCAAAAGCCTACAGACACATTTATGGAACAAATTCCAAAATGCCATCTAACAGTCCAGCTAAGGTCAAAATACACAACAAAATTCTGAAAGTGGTGACAATCAGCATATGGAAAAAATTTCATTTCTATTTTTGTTTGACTGATATAGTAGTTTGAAAAGGAAGTTAAAAATCAGAATCACTGATGCCATCTGAAGAGAGGCATATAAGTGGAGGGAATTATTTTAAAAAGTACATTGTCTTGCATATTTTATACTTGTATATTTCTATTTGCCATAACTTTTGAGTGCAGCAAATTTAAATATAATTCAGCTATAAAAGATGGCATGGTATTAGGAACTTCACTTATTTCAGATCACTTATGTCTATCATGATATATAATTCTGTCATTCCGAGAGGCATACTGAACAAATTCAATATACTCTATTTCAAAACTGCACATATGATTTGTATCTCAAAATTGAGTTTTTAAAATACTTTTTTCAAGTAGCTTTAAAATACTTCAGTGCCAGCCATTTTACACAGAAAACAGAAATGAAATATTAATCCAGTACTCCAAAATTCACATTATTTACGTTATGCAAAAAACAGCTGTTAAGGGCTCCAATTCTTAACACAAGTTACTCTTCTTGCAAAATTGAAGCAAACTCCTTTGAGATGATCAAAAAGTTACACCACAAAGGTAAAAAGCCCTTCACTGAACTTGCCACAATCACGTTACTAAAATATCTGATGCATCATTGCATCGGCGCCATTGACCACTTGAAAGACTGGCTGATCATATAAATTTATGTACAACTTGCCAAGGAAGGACGTTCAGAATGGAATGGAAACACAGAGTTTACTTGAACGTTCTAATAGTGAAAAATCATTTTACTCTTCAGCTTTCACTTCTTTTTGTTTGTGAACATAATGTCCCTGTGACTATACAGGATTACATTGCGTAATGATTTCCTATTGACCAGTTAACTGTGGCTCAGAACAAGTCAAGGTCGTATATTTTTATGCCAAGCCACAGCTATATCCCTGAAGTGCTCCATCAGTCACGTAAAATCAGAATATTGCTGATACCTTGTTAATGAAGAATTTGCTTCAAATCAATGCAGTCCTCTGATAGGCTCCTACTGGAATACACAAGAACTGAAAAAAAAAAAAGAAAAAAAAGAAATTGAAACTTCATGGTTCAAAAAACCTTAGCATTTTTTTCCAGTAGTTTAATTCATAACCAAAATACATCTTTCCCAGGTTCACAGAATGATAGAATTGCTGGGTCGAAAAAGACCTTAAAGATCATTGAGTCCAACCTAACCACACTACCCTAACTCTAACAACCCTTCACTAAATGATGTCCCTGAGCACCACATCCAAATGGTTTTTAAACACATCCAGGGATGGTGACTCAACCACCTCCCTGGGGAGCCTATTCCAGTGCTTAACAACCCTTTCTGTAAAGAAGTTTTTCCTGACATCCAATCTAAACTTCCCCTGATTGTAATAGCTGAGTATAATTTGGGACAGCCTTGACCAGTCCGTAGATGAGTACACCCAAGTGCATAATACAACATGCACTTACTGCTTCCAGTGAAAATTAACGATGATATTTACATATACCCAAAGAAAAACCAGATGTAAATGATATATTTGTATAAGCAAATTGGCCAGCATATCAGAAATAATGTATGCAATTATTATCATATATATGAAATGATCTGTATAATTACAGGCAATGTTTGAAAACACAGCCTGTATCTTGATAAATGTTCTGTATGCCTCTGTGCAAGCTACTACTCAACTTGACCTCAAGCGTAGGTCTTTTCAGATCTTAGCCATGTCTTTATATTCACTAGTCCACCTGTCATGAATTTCGCCTGCCAGCCATTGTTCACAGATGCTCATCAGACAAGCTTATTTGTATTTAGTTATGGGGTGCTACTTGTTCAGCAGCTGCCCTCAGTGAGAAGTTTTTTAATAGCGGCTGTTGGACACTGATGATATTAAGCCCATAATTCTAAGGGAAATAACATTCTTGATGGAAAAAAAAAAAAAAAGAAAAAGAAAAGTGCGCTTTCAGCTTTAGAGATCTTAGTTCTCACATTTTTCTTGTCCTAAGGGTGTGATTTTAGGAACACTAATACAGTCTCTTAAAAAAAAGACTGCAGTTCTTTTCCTTTTTTTTTTTTTTCTTTCTTTTAAATGAAAGACTATTACTATCTTCTGAAGCACACTTTCATAATACCAGCAACTTCAATGCTACTTATTTTGTGTTTTCAACTTAAAAAGTAGATTTATATCCTTCTCTTTAATAAAAGTTGTGGTTCTTTCTTCACTCAAATTCTCTTTAAAGATCAATGCAATGTAATAAATATCCTGTAGATCAGCCTTAAAGTAACTATATAAGGTCTGTAACTCAGAACAATGACCAACTTGTGGATCACAGCTAACTGACATTTGCTACAAAGTGGATGCCTTTCAGTTGAGAGGTACATTAGAAATTAACTCTTTTGAGAAATGCTGAAAGAGATGAGTGCCTTATCATCAGCTGTTCACAAGAAGGAATTGGGAAATAGATAACAAACATACTTGAAACAGAGAAAATCTCCTATATGAGATTCACTTTGGTAAATCTGAAAGAGAATGGAATCTGGTCGTATATAGCTCTAGGCAATCAGCAGCTCCAAAAGTGAGGTAGCTTCTAATGCAAGAAGAAATCCTAAGTTTTGAGGAGTCTCCTAATAGGTTCTTCACTCCAAAACTGGAGATGGTGGACAAAAATCTTCAAAGTTCAATGTCTACCTTCTAAATATAATTGCTGCCCTTACTTGTAAAAGGCAATAGGTTTTGCACTGACCTGTTTGACTGAACTTAAAACACTGACAACCTAACAAAAATTCCTTTTCCTCCATGTGGTTATGTGATTCAATCCTACGTATGATGCCAGGAACCACGAAATATTTGCCTAGACTAGGTAGATTCAGCAATCTCCTCAGTAACTGTTGATTTGTACAATTCTGTCCCAGATACAAAAGTTTCCATGCACAAATCTCTATGCCCACTACTATGCATAAATGCAGTTTCTGCATTTTCTGAATTTGCCTCCTATAAAAACATCAAAAGCCTATTCTGAGCATCATCAATGTTAAGTTACAAGACATATTCTTGCTATATCTCAGGTAAAGTTGGTCAAATAGAATAACGCTCATACAAAACTTAATAAAAAACATTCCCATTCTGTAATGAAACACTTTTTGAAAACTCTTTGTTTTCAAGGGCCACAGAATTCCCCACTCCCTTATTTTCCTCTAGCAATTACCTTATCTGGTCTGGTATCATTCTGACGTCCTCATGTCACTAGCTTAGAGCACTAGGAGAGTTAATACAGTTAATTAGAAAGCACTCAGGAAGCATGCTCAACAGGATGAAAAGCACCACACAAAAACCCTGCACTGATTCTCCTGAGAATCTGGAACCAGCTTTTTTTTTTATTATTATTATGAAGACCCCACAGTGACAACACTGCCAAGTACTTTTAGTCTGGCTTGCTTACAATTGCCTCATGCTAATACTATGCCTGTCCTTGTGCTAAAATAGTTACCAGATTACATGCATTTGGGAGATATGAGTGCAGACAGCTAGCCTGCTGTCACAAACAGACCACACAAAGCATTTAACCAGAGAGAGAACACCTAAGGGTCTGCATGCATTTGTTCCATCCAAAGATAGTGCTTGTATTACAGCACCCTTATTAAACCTGAATACCTGCAATCTCTTCTCAGTTGTTATAATGCTGAACAACACGGGCCACTGACAAGCATAGAAGTTACTCAGAGAAACTTTTAACAGCCAGCACTTCAGGATCTCATGCATGGATGCTCTAATTTTCGAGCTCATCACTTTACTAGCAGGGATGAAATTACTCTGTTATGTTCTTAATGTCTAAGAGATGGAAATTCAGATGTCATTAACATACTGCACACACAGCAATCTGTGCACTCACAAACACTATTTGTTCTCCTTTTGCTCCTCAGTTTCAGAGGGACAAAACTGCTTTCTACAGTGGTATTCCATGCACCATTTTAAATCTCATTGGCAAATACTTGACTCATTTCCAACACTTCCATTTACATTTAAACTTTGAACGGATGCCACAGACTTCAATTCTTAATTTTATCTTCATTAGTTTGCAAAGATAATTTCTTTGAGGTTTGGAGACAATCACAGAAATTAATTTCCCTTGAGCACTGCTTCATGGGTTTTATTGAATGCTGGCCCTAATTTTGACATTTGTCATTAGAAAGAAGTCACTGTGCCCTATGTTGAATCTGGAGATACTATTCTGGAATTGACACCCCTTCCCTCCCCCTACACACAAAAATATGATTGCAGTTCCTCCCTCTGAATCCTGAAATGAAAATGAAGCCTCAGCATACATCTAGAAAATGTTACATAGCAATGAGCAACTCCAGACCACCACTGGCTGATAAGTCTTTTCATTCACCTTGATTGTATCATTCTTGTTTGGTTTGTTATCATGGACTACTATACCAGAACACTAAAGATGCAGTGCACAAGATCGTCACATGTAAAACACATCATATCACTTGTCACATTCAATGAATACAAGTATTAAAGTTGATAAGTGAAACTTTAGAACGTTTCAGGAGGCATAATATTCCCAGGCAATTTAAGTTATCACTTTAAAAGGGTAGTCTTTAAAATAAATTTTGATTCCTATGTATAAGGATAGTGGAAAAGTGGCATGGTAAGTAGATAAAATTTCTATTTAGAAAAAAACATTCCACAAGAAAAAAAATCTCTGTGCAGGTTTATTCAACCATGCATGCCTCATGTTTTTACTACAGCACATTACCCACAAACAATTTCTCCATCACTGAATACACTCAATTCATCAGTGCTTAATAAATATTTGAGCCTAATTGAACTTAATGACTTTGTCAGCCTTTGAGATGGCACAGCAGACCAGCAAGAGGCTTTTTTCCTCTCGTTGACTTTTTTTAGTGTGCCGCTTGATTTAAAAGCAAAATTCTGAAGACATGCTTAAGGATAAGTGAAAATGGAAAAAATCTGTTTTCACTATCAAGAAATACCAAAAGGGGCAAGTTAGTTATGCAAACCACGTTGCTCTCAAGAAGACTGCATTAGATACATCCCAGCTACCAAAAAATTCTAACTGATAATCCAAAGCAGCTCAGCATCCCTGCGCTACTTGAAATGAAATCCAGGTATTCATACATAAAATAATCTCCCAATGTATTCTATAATTGATTATGCATTTGCAATTGAAGAGATACCTTATTTTTGTTGTTTCGTCAGAGATCTTTTTATAGCTTGCACTCAGGTTTACCATCTTTCATTTCCAACAGTTATGGATACCTTTCCTGCTTTAAGAAATAGCCACTCTTTTTCAAATGCTGGGTTGGATTTGTCTGACCACAGCTTATTACCAAGCTATCAAAAAACAAGAACAAAAAACAAAAAACAGAAAACAAAAAACAAAACAAAAAAAAAAAAAAACAACCCAAAAACCTGGCATCTTAATCGTCTGCCCCAGAACAGAAGGGTTTTGCATGCTTGCCTTGATTCAGTTTCCCCTGACACCCACTCCACAGCAGCCTCATGTCAAGAGAAACAAATATCACGTACTCCAACTTCTGGTGCTACTCGAGAGAACTTTTATCTTGAGGACTTAGTCCCATACCATTACAAAAAGGTACATTTCGCATGCTTTCTTCCAACAAATCATACCTTTGTGGTATAACTTCTGGTGCTTTTCTGGTACCATTTGATATCATCTCTGTTTCATTTGAAACATCTATGCAAAGCTTGAAAATATATTCCAATAGTCCCATTCTCAGAAATTAGGCTAGTTCCAGAGACAGAATGTTTCATATTTCATCTTAATTTCATTTTAAAGGATTTTATTTTGAAGTATTTAACTACCTTCTGTTAAATGGCTGATACTGGCAATACTGCTGAAATGCGCTGTTTCTGGAATTGCTACATGCATGCAATAAAATAAATTAAAACTACTGTAGATGCCTGATGAAACAACTGAAAATGTTTAGATTAAATTTGTTTTAAGTACCTATTTTTTGCTAGAATTGCCTTACATAAATGATTTA